ATAAACATTTTTTGTTTTTATTTATTGTTTTTTATTTATTTCCAGCATTTTATAAGATAATTATAATACTATATTATAATTTATAATAAACATTAATAGTACAACTACAGTACAGTAATAGTATAATATAAAAAATTATTATAATTTGAAAAATTAAAAGTACTGTATGGAAGAAATGATACAATGAGAGGGAATTTCCGAAATTAATTATTTGCATATAAATATAATATGATATATCTTTAATATATTAATATATTTTTTAATTATTTAACTATTATTATATCACAATTATTTTATGTGTTTTGTGTAATAAGAAATAAAATCATTATCTAAAATATTTACAAAAATGTTTTTTTTTGGAAAATATAGAAAAAAAACATTCAAATGTAAAATATTAACTAAAAGCGTTTAATGATTAAAATTTGAGTTAAAAGAGCTATACTTTAATTCTTTTTAAATATTTTTTAGAAAAAAAATATTTTATTAAAAGTATGACTAAACAAAATTATGATAAAAAATAAAATTTTGATATAATTTGATATTTTGTATATTATTTTTTTAATGAATTTACTAATTTTCTAATGTCTTTGTTTTACTTTTCTATAGATATTCTGGTCTCTGATCGACGTCTGTTTTATCCGACATCTTCATTGATAATACAACTATGAATAGTATAATCTTAAAAATCATTTTATATAATACTTACAAATGTGAGACACAATAAGTTTTTGAATGTTCACATAAAAAGTTTAATGTGTTGTTTAACTACAGGTGTTTTTGTCTACAACTAAACTATGTATATATAAATCAAAACCTAAAAAACACATTTCAGTGTTTCACAAAATTGCTTATTGTTTTATCGCTAGAAAATAGCTATAAATTTTCAATTTTATGTATTACTTCTATAAATATTATTCGGCATCTGAGAGAAAGAAAGAAAGAAAGAAAGAAAGAAAGAGAGAGAGAGAGAGAGAGAGAGAGATGCTTTCAACTGTAATTCAACAGTGCTTTTAATAATATAACACAAGTTTGTGAAAATCATAATCTAATAAATAATTTTTTTATTATTTATTTTTGCAAACAATGTGAATAAAAACAAAGTTTTTTTTAAAATAGTATTTTTATAAACTAAATATAAAACTCTTGTTAATGTGTTTTGAACAACAATTGCTGAATCGCTGAATAAATATTTTGATATCCGTTTGTGTGAATTAACTTTTATTGACTTTATTGAATTTGTCTTTTTTGAATCACTTTTATAATGATTTATGATATTTTTGATTATAATAAGCTGTGATAATTGCTTATTTCCAACTGTTGATTATATTGCTGACAGAGAGTCAACTTCTAGTGAGATTTAAACTTTAAAAACACTTATTTCAAAATAAAATCAAAAATTACAAAATTTTTAAACAAAATACTGTATTTAAAAAAAAATATCTTATACTGTAATTAGTGGGAATCACTCGTTCAATGTGTCCTATTTGTGTGCACACAAATCGACAATACGATAGTCAATGAATGATATTTGTGTTTAAAATACTGGTTATATAACTTAGCACTGGTATGCACAGTGTGTTCAGTGTCTAAGTTAACTGTATTTATAACGCAAATATACAAACTTATACAAAGTTATTTTAGTCTAACATATTTTTCAACAACAAAAATATTTTATTGTATTCTATAATATAATTTATTTTATTCAATAGTAGAAAACATTATGTTAAATATGTTGGGAATCGAAATAAAATATTTAATTTATGTTCAACTAAATTTAATATTATATTGTTATTTATAAATTATAAATCAATGTTTTGTTAAAAAATAATTTTTAATTAGTTAAAAATGAAGATGACAAAGTTAAGGATTAGTATATTAATAATTTGAACAAATGCTCAACTATTTAGTACTTTAATTTATATTCATATTATAAGGTAAAGTTCATCTCAAGTATTTATATTTTTAACAAATTGAAAATTATATTATAAGTTTTTAGTATAATAATTAGATTATATAAAGTAATTTATCTTATTTTTTWAAAATTGATACAGAATTACATTGAAAATAGACAGCAAATACATTAAAATACATTAACTTTCACATTCATCACTTGTTCTCTATATTYCGCTATTTTGAAAACTTATGAATAATAAACTTAAATTCAGATGAATTTCAGATGAAACTAGACTTTGATTTAATCGAGTTGTTAACAGTTGTGTTAGAAAATGTTATTTTTTAAAAATAATTATAAGTTATTATAAAATAAAAGATAATAAATTAACCACATTTGGCTTTTCAAAAATTGGTCAAACCTTGTGTCAAAAAATTATTGAATTTGAAATATTTTGTAAGTTATAGTTATATTCTTGATGTAAGCTTTTGTAATGTCTTTATTGARTGAAACAAACACTTAATTTTTATTTATGAAAATATCGTTTTGAACAAAGCGTTTATGAGATAATGAAACCAATCTTATGTTCTATACTTTGAGTTGTAAACGACTTCACATCTCGGATCAGATATATTGACAAAAATGATATAACGATCCCATTGTTGTGGCTAATCATTCAAATGCTTGTTCACCGAAACAAGTGTTTGAAGCCGTACTAAGAGGTCTAAAGCGTGGACAACAAGATTTTGGTATACATTCAGCGCTTATTATATATTGTCGTGTATTTGCAATTTTTCCGTTTTGTTACTTTATATTTGGCTTAATTTGATAATTATTGACTGAAAATAATATTTTATAAATTGTGTACCACTTTGTAGTGCATAAATCAAATTAAAAAATTTGTTTGCAAAAAAATACAATTTACAGTAAATTTAAATAAATTAAATAATGTATATTTTGTTGGTTTATATAATATTTATTAAATTGATTGTAATTAAACTCTTATTTTTAAGTGATAAAATTAGTCATTATATTGAAAACTAAATTTTTAATTGATTTTTTTTGTTAAAATGTGTTTTCTAATAAAAAACATTTGTATCAATACAACACAATACTTTAATAATGTTCAAAACAATATAATTATATAATACAGTAATATTGAAAATGATTAGTTTGTAATCTTTATGGTTTGACTTTGTTATCCCAACTATTTATGTTTATTAATGGATTTTCAAGTCTATAAAAAAGTTATGTCTATAATGTAAAACTTTTGTTGTGTGCAGACAAACTAACATTCAATATTATAGCGTTATTTTACTGTATAATAAAGAGTTTGGGCTAACCGTAAGAGTTATTTTAAATAAACTAATAATTTTTTAAACATAAATAATTTTTAATGTTTATAATGTCTCGACCACTAAAATATATGTGAAACGTCTGTCTGTCTCTCATTTTTCCAATATTTTATGTTTTCCCATATTATATAACTCTATATATAACTGATATATTGTGTTTGTCTTAATATGCATATATGATATACATAGGGAGCGGAAACTCATTGAAATGTTAAGATTTTTTAATTTTGTGTTATGTTTTTGTAACATATATAGCGCTAATATCCATGTTTTGAATATTATATTTTATGGCATGTTTTGCACGATATCTCTTCAAACAGTACAGTAGTCTAATCAATATAAAAGTCAACATAAATATAAAAATAAATATAACTTTTGGGAAAAAATTATAATGTATTTAGTAGTAAATAGCCTTTGATTTTCAGACAAACCATAACTTATATAACAAGTATATAATAACAATGAGAGAGAGAGAGAGAGAGAGAGAGAGAATTGACATATAATTTAGTTACTCCTATTTAGTGCATAACATAACTATTAGACATACAACAAAATAACATAAATAATAATAAATATTTAATTGCTAGCATAAAAAACTTTGAAAACAATAATATCTAATGTTTTATGTGTCCATTGCATGTAATGTCAATGTATAGTAGTATATATAGATAGTGTATTACAAATTATGAAAACACTGTTTGTGTCTAAATAAATGTAAAAATAAATAAAAAGTATTTTCAAAATTTATAGCCCTATTGTCTTTAGTTTAAAAAATATTTATCGGCAAAAACTATTTAATAAAAGACTATTCAATAGGAATATTTGCTCTTAAACTCTCATAAAAGTATTTATTGTATATTTTTTTAATTATTGTGGAAAGTTATTGTACGAACAAATTATTAATATTATTGTATTTTGTCTAAACTTAGACTGCATATTACCTAAATACATAGTTATTTTTTAGAAAAAATGTATAATAAATAATCAAATGATAAAAAAAACTTGTTTTTTATTTACTATTATGTATAAAATTTTAATTTTACAAATCTTTAAATTAAAATAAAAATTGACTAGCTGAACTATTTTTAATAAATAGTATTGGTAGTTGTTTAATAAAATTTGTTTTTTAATTTAATACTAATAAAAAATAATGATAAGTTTTGTTAAAATAGATTGCAAAACACAAAATATGACAATTAAAATGTATAGCAATTAATTTAATAATAATATCATAGCACGAGATTACATATAAAAGATCATATGTACTGTAAAAATCAATTTCAATTTATTTTATACCAAAYTTTTTATAGTTTTCAATCACGAATATAATATCTAAGTTTTGTTTGCGCTAAATAACATAAAATATGGTATAAAATGTTTGCAATAAAATATTTTTTATTTTTTAAAACACAAATTCAAATTTTAATACTTTAGAATAAATGAATTACGGTAACCATATTTTAATAGTTAAATAAAAACTATATTTTAAAAACATAATATAACAAAATCATAAATCTTAAATATATGAATATTAAAAAAATATTTTTAAAAATAGGTTTATTTGATACATAAATATTAAGCTTAAATAATAAGTGTGAACACTATATACAAAATACATTATAAGTACAATATTTTTTTATCAAATTAATAAAAAGTATTTAACAATAACAATATTATTAACAATATTTAAATTTAGAAAAACATATAATATATAATACAAAATATAATAGATTTAAAAATAGTTTAATTATTTATTAATCGATTTGAATGACTTCAATGGTTTCGTTGGTTTTTTGTTTCTTTTTCTCCATCTTTATCTGAATGTCTAATGAATTTCTATTACTATTATTATTAGTTCCCAAAACAAATCCTTTTCCGTAAAATGGTTTAAATGACTCATCAGTTGTATTGTTGATGACATTTGTCTCATTTAATGTGATATTATTTTGTGTTTTTCCTTCGTTTTTACTTTTAGTTGATGAATGAGAACCAATAGATTCTTTACTATTTTTAGACTCAATATTAAAATAAGTGTCCAAAGTTTTGGTCACTTTCTTAAGTGGATTTTTGTCTATTTTAATAGATCCCAATTTGTGACCCAAACCAGCAAATGGTTTAATCGATTGATTATTTTGACTATTCTTTGTCGGCGATAAATAATCTCTATTATTGAGCTTTTCTGGAGTTAACTCTAAATTTTCTTTGAGTTTTTTATTTTTTGGCGGTTCGGATATTTTTATGAACTCTCCGCCACAGCTCTGTTGATGATATTTGAACCAATAGTCTGATGGTCCGGGAATTCGGTTCATTGAACGCCTAACATAACCAAAATACGGTGATTTGTCGCGACATTTGCCGTTACAACGCCAGACATGAGTCAAGAAATGATTGACCTCATCGTGAAAACTGTGATAAACAGTGATGTTTGCGCCGGACATATGGTTTATACGATACATGTTTTCATGAAATTTCTGGCCATGACTTTCGTGATTGTCATCTATTCATAGAAATTGTGACTATTTTTAATGACTAAATAATTAGAAATTATTAATCAAAGATCACCTTCTCGTGTGACAAACAGTAAGGCGTGAATCATCTCATGAATCAGTGTTTCGACCAAATCCTTTCGCGACCGCAACTGAAGTAATGGTAGTGAAAGACGTATTGAACAATAACTGTAAAAATAAGTATAAAAATTATTAAATAATTTAAAGTTAAACTCAATTATAATACTTTGTGGTCGGACTCCAAGCGCAGAGACCGGCAGTTCGGGTCATACGTGAACTCCAACTCAATTCAATGCAATGTTTGGCCAAAACACTGCCGAAGAACATGCGATCATAATCTCTCATCAAATGCCAAATGTTTGGACTCGGATCTGATAACTCTAATTCAGGTTTAACGATATCTTCGGGTTTCAAATGATAGGTTTGTTGAGACGGTTTCTTAGTGTCTGTTTTGTCTCCAGTAGTGGACATATGATGTCCATCCGATTGTGACAATTGAAGTGCCAATTGATAGTCATTTTCAAGTGAAGAGTTTCGCGTTTTGTTTTCATCTGAATTGAACTCGTCTTCGAGTGCCTGAAGACCTAATGCCAGAAGATAATCATCGTCGAGACCGACTTCAAAGTCATCGTCAAACGGATCCAATGATGAAGACATTGTATGAGTGATAACAGCAATCAATGAAGTGATAAATGAATTGAATTTTCAAATCAATGTAAACAATGTATTGAATGAATCACTGAAACACACAATCATTACATTCAATGACTGTTTACTTCACAAGACGTCGCCCTAACTCTAGTCATGTATTAATAGATTGCTTACAGTTTTGCTCATTATTTCAATTTAATAATCAAATTATATCTATAAATAAATCCTATTTTAATTTGTTAATTAAATTTTCGTAAACCACTATTTCATCACTTTTATCACATTTTCAATATTAAATCACAAATATATATATAATTAACAAATAGTTGTTTTATTTAACTAATATTTTTTTAATGTTCATATTGGTAGATGATTTTGAATTTATTTAATAAATTCACTCAAATAAAATTAATTAAAAATTAATTAATTGATTCTAATAATAATAATTTATAATTAATTAAATATGATTCAAAATAAAAAACATAGCAAATAAACGTAATATAATATTTGTTTCAATAGAAATCAATGTTAATAATAGTCTATAAAAGAAATAAAGAAAGATATAAATTGTGAGACATTTAATTAATAAACAGTTGAAGAGATGACTAAAAATGTTATTATTGTGTTGATTGAACAGTTGGTCGATTAGTGGTCGCTGTTTTAAGTCTCTCGCGGGCCCACAAAACAAAGTCATCGATCATCGTAGGCCAGGCCCCGTCAAAATCATAGTTTGTTAGTTGCGGATCAACACTTGTGGTGAACTCCAGAAGCAGATTCCAAGTGTCACGAGTGACGGCTTTGCGGTTCTTACTCACGAACTCTATCCACAGCTGCAGCAGCTGTTTGTTAACACAGTTATACAATAATAATGTCCAGTACTCTATAGCCACTTCCCAATCCATTGTCTTGGCTTCAGATGGTTTGCCATAATTCCAGGCAAATAGATATAAATCTCGTAATTTATTCAAATCTGTATTCAACTCGTTGTCAAACTCGACGAGTCGTTGATTGAGTGCCGCAATAGAGTCGCAGTTGATATCAATCATACCAGTGATGAACTCTTGTCGCGTGAATTCGCATTGTTTCTGTGCCCGCATTTTCTGCGCTAATATTAAAACTTTGCGGTCATTTGGCCTCAGATTTAGGTCTTCGAGTAATTGAATGCAGCCATCGATCTGTATTTTGTCCGTATTTTGCGAGTATTTATTAAACAACTGATCGATGCGTTTCTTGTCCACTGTTTTCATATATATATCGGGATTCGTGAAGAAGGCATCGCAGGCCACCTCAAGTCGCCACTCGTTTTGTATTAAACAATTGAATGCTATCTTTTCGGAACAGTTGGTCAGTTGCATAAATTGTCGAACTTTGGCCTTTTCGGTAGACTTTAGTTTGTGCTGAACGGTATCAGATGGTCAATATTATCGGTCAAATCAAAAACAAATACAATAAGTGAGTTAACCATCGATTTGTGTTTGCGGTAAATCGCATATCAATTACTTACCATTTTTTAAACCAGAAAATCAAATATTACAGTAAAGTCCGTGAAACGAGTGACCACTACTATAATTACCGTAACATTAAGTGTGTGGACAACGACTACAAGATTGGTGTCAATCGGTGTCGGCTATCAATCATACAGTCATTCAATAGTTGTTTGTTGTCTTCAATTGTTTGTGTATTTCTAAGGGACTGTACTCTCATTGCATCCAAAAAATATTTTTTAAACACAATTTAATTGTAATTTCATATAAATTCAGTTTACTTTTAGTTTTATTATTTAAAGTTATTTTAATAACAGATAATTTTAATTTAGTAAATTTATTTAAAATATCATTTTTATATCATAATTTAAATAATTTAATTATAGATAAAATTATTCCCACAATATTATGCAAAAATATACAACATTTTATTTATTCATAATTATAATAATAATAATAATAATAATAATAATAATAATAATAATAAATTAAATAAAATTATTAATTCTGGTAATTATTAAACTAGAATAAAGTTATTTTATTTATTAAATTAAATAATAATAAATCATATAAGTGTAAAATAAAACAAAATAATAATAAACTTTTTTGAAATATCAAAGAGAAAGATATTGTAATTTGATATTAGTTTTGTCGATAACACTTTGAGTCATACAAAAGACTGGATTAATTGGTTTAATCTTATCTGAAATTACTTTCCATTGGGCTCTCAAATCACTGTCACTATTGGTATCACTGTTTTCGGAAAGTGCTTCAATTGGCTCACAACTATACTTATGACTTAATAGTGAAAGACCGGCCAAACCGAATACTGTATGAAACGGGTCGACCATATTGCCGGGTCGGTCACTAAATCCACCCGTTTCATCATCCTGTGTGGCTAAAATAAATCTCAACAGTTTATGCTTATCGATCCAATGTAGTCGACCAATAATGGCCATCGAGGACAACACCCACCACGAGTAACACAAATCGGGCAGTTTTTCTGGTCTACCATTGAGTCCACCAGACGGTAATTGTCTCTCAGCCAACCACCAGCCCAGTAAATCGGCATCAATTCTGTGTAATTCACCGGCAATTGACAGACAACCTATAATACAAAATTAAAATAAATCAAAATTACATCAAAACAAATATCTATTTATAGGACAAACCTAATGAGCAATAGATGAGCCCGGCGTGTGATTCACTGCCCGGTCGCGACCCGAAACCTCCGTCAATAGTGTTATTACATTGCATAACAAAATCAATTGCTTTATCTAAATCAATGGCATTTAATCGATTAAGAAGTGCCGCACTAGCGATGGCACAGAACGAGAAGCGGACGTCGACTTCACCCCAGGAGTCACCCATAAAACTGCCGTCAGTTTTCTGAAGCGATACGATATAACTAACAGTTTTGTCGATATCTATAATGTTGTCGTTTAGAGCATCATATGATACAAGAATCTGAATGGCGCTCATTGTGTACAAGAGGTGCGGATCGTGACCTTTGGCGGCACTAATACCACCGTTTGGATGGACACACGTCTTGATCATCGATAGTATGTCCTGACGACCAGCTGATTGGATCATAAATAATAATTAAATTAATGTCGGATTTAGTGTTGGATTAAAACACATACCACTGTCGAAGTCACTATCCATTAGCTGAAGAGCAGTTGTAGTCCAATAGATACCACTCATCCTCAAGTACTCGACCATCAATTGTTCGTACGATTCATTACTCACCACAGCGTACTTCTGCAAGTATTGCACGTGTTTTGACAGCAACAAGTGTTGCACGTGTTTTGCCGTTATCTCTACATCTCTGGTCAACATTTTGTGTCTTTTTTTGTCAAACAATTGTCAACAAAACAGACGAACACTAATGTCTCTATCAATGACTCATTTGTTTACACCAATTGAATGCATCAATAAATAGCATTACATTGAGTGTCCCCTCAATCAGTGTTTATCATTGAAATCAATAATAATATTATTAGTAACCATTGATAACGTTGTTTATGAACTCAATAGTAATATACTATGAATTGATTGTTAATTTAATTCATGTTTTGTTTGTTTGTTTACAACACATACTGACCGGTGATGTCTAACCTGACGTATAAATCTGTGATTACCTTAGGATTGGTATCACTTCTTCACTGCGCCTTTTCTGCGACACAACACAGAAGTTATGTACGATTAGTGGAACAGGAGTTCACAGGTTTGCCACAAGACATTGTCGTCCAGTGTTTGGTCAGTCTATTGGTGACCATTGCGGCCATCATTGCACTGAATGCCAGTCGACTTCAAGAGATTCATGCGTTAAGTGATCTCAAAGACAAGACAATTGATATAATGAACAACAGACCAAACTTTTATATGTTTAACCACAGAGGAAGACTTCTTTGCAAATAATAAGAGAAAGACATTACTCGTTGTCTATGCAATACATTGCCATCAATTGGGACTCAAAGTTGTCTTTATATTATATATCAATCAATAATTGTTAAGAAAATGTTTGATATTTTTATAGTAATTAAATGATTTATTTATATTTTTTGTAATAAATATATATAAAAAACATTTTAATGTTAAAAGTATTAGTTTTATTAGTAATAATTTGATTTTTCAGAATCAAAATTTTTTTTTATAAAATTTATTGAAATATGTATTGAATATCGTATGAAATATTGTTGAATATGAATGGATAAGATATATATGATATAATAAATTGTTAATTAAATAAATTTATATTAAAAACATGTAAAAGAAATTAATGAAAATTGAATGACACGTGTGATGTCATCGCTTATTATTCGGTCTTTTGTCGACAATTAAGTGATCTATTCGTGTATTGATTAAGAACTCTAATTAATGTCAAAAAATTGATAATTTTGTTAATGTTTTAACTTTTTAATGCTTTTTATTATTGCTTCCTCTAGTTTGCGATTTCTTCTGCTTCTTTCCTGAAGATGTTATTATTTGTTTATTAATAATAATTTGTTATAATTTAAAAAATCAATTATTAGGTGCTTACGAAAAACAAAGAAATATATGATAAGTAAAGCAATGACAATAATGGCCACAATTGCCAAAATGATGGGCAATACTGAAGAACTACTATCAGATTGTTTATCATCTGAGAAGTCCATAATTGCTTTATTACATGTTTTAATAAGTAAATTATAATAATTAATAAATCAATCTTAATTTGTAAGAAGTTATCAAACTTTTACTATTTTTAAAAATTTCTTATAACCTTTTGCTGTCTGTTGGCTCCCATTCCTTGATAGGCCTACTGTTTCAGTGGTTCCTATATTAGCCTCTTCTTCTCTAATTTTTTTCATAAGCTTTGGATCAAAGCAATGCTCCATAAATTGTTTCAAAGATTCTGGTTTACACTATTAATACTGTATTTATTAATATCAATTGAAAATAATTTTTTGATGTCTTACGTTTGGTGAAAGGTTTTCATTATCATAAGTAAAACAATAAAATGCTTTTCCGTTTTTATTGAACACAATTAAGTGACCTTTTTTGTTGCCGACCCAGAAGTCAGTTATTGCAACTATTGACAGCTCTTTCGTAAAATATTTGTCGTCTAATTGTTGGACAAACTTAGGCGTTGGACACGATTTACCACAATTATCTTCTTCGAGACGATTTTCATTAATTATATAGAAGTATAGCTTTTTGTTAAACCTATTTAATAGTAAGACTTGTGGTTTATTACTATAACCGACTATTGGATTGAATGCAGTGATGTTATAGATATCAAGTGTGTCCTTAGTATAGCTCTGTGAGAGTTCATATTCTGTCCATTGATTGATTTGGTCATCAATTTTACAACAACATTGTAATCCAAACTCTCCGTTCTTTATAGTCCGGGACTCATCCAATGATTTATCAAAAAACTGAAAAATCAAATTAAATTAATAGATTACAAACACAAACACATTCAATGACTTACATTGCATTTACGGTTAGGACTATAATTAGATTCACCAAACGGATGATTAAATCTACAAATAATATTTTTACTAAACATAACCACAGGTTGATCCCCATTGATATTGATTTGATTTTGTGATCCATTGACAGCACTATTGATTTTAAGAGTCCATTCTTGACCGGGAATTTCATTTCTTCCACTTAAATATATTTTATAATTTGGTTTCAAATCTGCTTCGGTWTCGTATGGTTTTGGCTGCCAATCCCTATACAAACCAATGCCATCTAAACTGATGGTTGCCTTTAGTGAATCACAGAATATATCCAACGAATCACATGCTATGCCAGTAATCAACAGAATATCAATAAATAAGTGTAAAAAATACATGAATTATAAAATTATATTTTTCTTTGCTTTAATTTGAAAAATTAATAATATTTGTAAAGTTGGAGATATTTAGAAATTTTAATTTGATTTATTCAAATTAACATTAAATTGACAAATATATAGTTAGAAACATAAAAATAGAGTATTGTAAATTGTGCGCGAATTAAACAATGTATTGTCAATAATTAAATCATATTTCGTCAAACAATTTTTAAAAAAATCAATTATCTCTATAATTAATTCAATTTTGTTGATCATTAAAGTGGATGAAAGTTATGATATATTTTTTAGTAATTAAAAAAAATCTTATAAATTAAAATAATAAAAAGAATTGTCTAAACATAAATAAAAATATATGTATATACAGTAATAATATTATTATGTCATCCATTATTATTGTTTTTTCTTCAATGTTAAAATCATTAAATTGTTTGGAAATCTTAAATTCTTAATGGTTTTATATATACTGTATATTAGTATTTTTAAAAACCATAGTTTAATAAAGTTGATAATTTTTTTTCAAAATCTTCATTAGTCTTAGTACTGTAGATATAGTAATATTGAAAAAACTAAATGGTTTTTTGAGACAAATAATTAGTATCATCAAAAAACAACACAATAATTGTGGTCAAAGTTTTTTTTTAAAAAAATACAGTATAACTGTAACACAGTATAAGTGTTTTTGAACAAAATTTATTTTCATGGCATAGACTCTATATTATAGAGTCTATAATATAATAAATAGTCCTAAATTAATGTAAAGACCAAAAACATTTGCTTTAAAAATCAATAAAATCATTGAAGTATTTTGTTGTATATATTTTGTTTTCAAATTCGTTTTCAAAACATTTAATTTTTTTATTGTCTAAAAAGTTTAATAATTATGATATTTTAACATTAATACTAAAAGTAGTTTTGTATTAGTTTATTGATTTATCTATAATTTCTTAATTAAAATTAATTAAATTTATTATGATCATGCATTTAAAATAAAGATTTTATGATTAACTTCATGCAATTTATAATTATTCATTAATTTTATAATTAATAATTAATAAAGCTAATCAATTATTTTATATTATATTATAAAATTTAAATAATTAAATAATATTTAGACTTTAATTTAATTAAAGTACTAAATTTATCATTTTAGTTAAATTCAACTCTATTTTATATATATTGGGAAAATTTATAAATTAAAAATTTAATCAATTTTAATATATTTTTAATTAAGCATTCAATTCTCAGATGATTATTTGTAATTATTTTTCATGGCTTACTATTAATAAAATTATAATGAGTAACAAAATCGAAAGTTTTATTCAAATGTTGATCCGCCTTATAGTTAGTGTCATATATAAGTATAAATATAACAATATAGTAGTCATTTAATTAATAAATTAAACATTTTTGATGGTTGTTATGACTAATATTATAGCATTAAAAACAATGAATATTTTTTAAACAATTTGTAAATTATATTTATTTGTAAAAGGGACTAGTAAATTTCTAGACTTATTAATATTTAAATATTTTATGTATAAGTTTTTATTTAAATAATTTATTCTAATTTTATAAATTAAATAATATATTTATAAAATAAAAATAGACAAATTATTAATCAACAAATAGTATGTACTGTATGTTGAAGATTAATAATAAATCAACTTAAAATAAAATAAAAACAAAATATTAGTTAAAAGTTAAAATAGATTTACAATATTACATGTCTTAATATAATAGGATAAACAATTTTGTTTATCATTTGATCAAATATTTCCAATGAATTAATTAATAAAATTCCTAATAATAGTAACACCTGTTGTGTCATATTATTATAATTACAGTCAATACAGTAATAACTAATATTATTAATACAGTAAAGATAATGCATTTTTTTGCACTAGTTTTTGTTGAATCAGCTTTTTATACGATATAACAGTTGTTTGTGAATACAAGTATACAAACTCTTTCATTTGACTGTTAATGATGTCAATTGCAAGATATTGACATAATTCCCAACAGATATCTCATACATAATGTTGTAGTTTATTAGTATTGAAAATATTATACAAAAAATACACAATTTATGATTTTTTATGCAAATACAAACTCGTGGAAAGTAATTATAAATATATACTTTAGCATATGTCACAAAATTTTTGTATACAGTAGTTATGGTTCACATATTTTAAAACCTAATTAAATATAAATAAATTATAAATTTATTGAGAAATTGAATGCATAGAAAAATTACAAAAAAACTCAATGGCATTTAAAATATACAGACATATATATTATTAAAATATAAATTATCGATAACACTAATAATAATTTATATATTTCGCTATAATGTCTAAAAGATTTTTGTAAATCAAATTTTCTAGAAATAAATATTGTTTTAGTATCTGAATTACAATTTTTAATATATATATATATATTTATAGTTTATTACGTATATGATATAATACTGTTTATTTAATACTATCAATAATAATATAATATTAGAGATTTAAATGTTTTTATCAAAATTGTATTTATAATTTAAATTTATTAAAACAATTTTTAATTAAACCAATAGACAAATACGTTTATTTACAATACTATTTATATCTTAATTACAATTAAGTCTTATATAAAATTTAGTGATTATTATTAGTCACGATTTGTGAACACTTTTAATGCTAACAATTTGTTTGCATTGTGTTTGTATTAGAGGCGATTCACATATTACGTCCGCACTTTTGAAGAAATCTAGACCCCCTACCCCTATGTTCGCAATTATTTGCATGTTTTGCAAAAGTTCGCTTTGGCCGACCCCTCCCCCCAAATTCAACGTAATATGTGAATCTCCCCTCAGTCATTTAATTAATAAAACTTTGAGACAACAAACTCAAAGAAATTGAAGTGATCTAAGAGTACAGTGAAAACACATTAAACAGTTATTTGATTGTTAGTTAAATTATAAATTATATATTATATAATATATATACTAATAGTGATAATTAATATTTTTATAATTTTATTTTAATAATTCAAAAATTCAATTATTGATAGATAACTAGAATTTTAATAATTTATTATTAATACTTATAATAGTTATAATAATAACTTAATTATTTTAAAAATATAATCTTAATTGAAAACTATAATTTGCGTATTAAATTTTCATCAAATGTTTTAAAAACTTATTATTTATTTTTTTAAATAAGCTTTTTTTAATCAAATGATTAATAATATAAAAATTTATAAGTGTTTAATGTTCACTTTATCAACATTTATAATGTTTTTAAGTTATATTTTTCTATATTTCTAAAAATGTTTATCAATGAGAAAAATACTAAAAATAAGTGCAATTATTAATTAATTAAATTAGTTATATGAAATTAAATTTGACTAATAAAAACTTCTATATTTTAAATATAAATACATTATTCAAAAAATAACAAAACAAAAAATTCTTATATTTTTATTTTATTATAAATATATTATATAATTAATAATTACAAATATAAATGAAAAATTAAATGATAATTTTGATGACATTTATTCACTTAATTTTATTTAAGTTTAAGTATAGTTTAGTCCAAATAGTTATCATCAAAAAACAGAGTTTGACTTTATTTATATTTGAATATATAATCTAAAAGATAGGATTTGACACAAATATTTATCATTATATGAATGAAAGGCATCACTTGCTGTGTGTATTCATTAAGTATTTACTAAAGTTATCGTTATATTAGTTATATAAATAAATGCAAGTAAAATACATAATAAACAAAAATATCTTATTTATTGCTAAATCCATTATATAGTAGCAGATAATCAGCTTTTCTTTTATCATCTATTACTTAATAACATTTTATTTGTTTTTATACAAATTATTATTTGTTATTTAAGCCTTATTTAGTATGAAATTACAATTAATGCATAAAACTTAAAATTAGTGGTTATTTTATTTTGTAAAGCCTTAACTTAAGATTTCTCATGAGAGTGATAATTGTAAATTGATATACAGTAACTGTATATATATTTGTTTGGTTTTAATTATGTTTCAGACATTATATTATAAATAAAAAATTTACTAATTGTCTAACAAATATTTTAAAAATATTTAGCAGTATTTTAATCTTTTAAAAATAAAATTATAATACAGTTATTATAATTACAGTTWATATAAGTACTTAATGTTAAAAGTATTTTTTAAATTTAATTTGTAAGCTAACATAAAAATTACAAAAATTAATTCTTAATATTGATATTTTAAAATATAATTACACCCAAACTATAATTCAGTAAATTTCTATAAATTCAATATCAATATTTAGATTATGATATTACTGTCAAATAAAACAAATTTTTGAAAGTATTGTACGATAAATAATAATGAGTTTATATTGATATAGCAATTATAGTATATAATATATACGTGTTAATTTGTAAAGTAAATTGAAATTTGCTATATATTTTAATGATCTAAAGGTAAGTTTTTTATTTAATATTTTTAAAATGTTTCAAAAAATCAGATTAATTGAATGAATCAGAGAAAGAAAGAAAGAAAGAAAGAAAGAGAGAGAGAGAGAGAGAGAGAGAGAGAGAGAGAGTTGATATCATTTATTAATACTTCACAATATTAAATGAATAACAATTGATGAGTAAATCAACAAATGTTGAATCCATTGGAGAGACAATAAGTTGTTCAATAAGTTTATTAATAAAATAGTCTCAAATGAATTGAGTGTCTWAACAATCAAATCTATGTCATGTATTAATTTATTTTAATCATTCAATGAACACATAATTTACTGTATTTGACCCAACATTTAGTATATAAAATTCTTTATGATATATCAGACAATACAGTATTTTTATTTTTACGTTTATATAAACAAATAATCRATGAATTTATTGTATATAAACTATATGCTGATTATATAAATATTTAAAAATATAAATATTAAACATTTTAAAAACAAGTAATTTTAAAGATTGTAAAATATATAATTTCATTACATAATTTAAATTTAAAATAATGTAGTTTTTATCGCAACAATTGTTCTACAAATATAAAAAAACATTGTTTGCCATCACTTTTAGTGTCTTTAAGTGTTTGATTTGAAATATGTGTAAAAACAAAATGATTTTTGAAGAGATATTATAAGACACATAATATTTATTTAGTATAACATTTGATTTCTAGCTGTGAAAATCGATAAAATTCAACCAAACAAATGCTTTTTGATGGCTTTATACACTTGATTGCCAACAATATAAATGGGATTGATTTGTGACATCAATCAATTGTGATGTTGTGATGCTCGCACTGTAAGGCCAGTCGTGTATACTATACATATGCCTGTGTGTCTGTGTGTGTGTGTGTGTTTGCCCTTAAAATAGTAGTCAAAATGTAATAACATTGTAAACATAAAGTGCAAGTGTTTCCGTTGTATTACTCGTTAATAAAAATAATAATAATAACAACAATCCCGACAAATGCTATTATAATATAACATTACAGGTCTATATATAAATCTATAGGAATGCCTATACTGTATAGTTTACATATTATATCGGTATATACTGTAGTATATACTGTATAAACTTATGCAGTAGTTTATAGTCTATTGATCTAAAACCATCAAATCAATATCAATTTTCAATTGCTTCAAATATTATATCTTTTATACTGTATTACAGGTAGTTGTACTGTATATTAGTTAAATTGACTTTCACTTGAAATTATTATCTTATAGTCTATGATGTTATAGATGTTTTCTATTAGTTAGTAATTTAGAGTTTTAGTTTAGGTATATATATATATATACAACACAACTACAATAAGTTTATTGATATACTGTATAAATTATTATAGATATACTAAAATGTACACATAATTATATAACGCCAAACAGTTACATTAGTAAGTTAATTGTCTATAAAAACATATATTCACTTATTGAAAACAATCCAATATACAAGTCATTAAATTTAAATGAATTACATGAACATTGCAATTGGCATTTGATTAGTTGAAAGTTTACGAATAAATACAAAAAATAGTTAAATATATAAATACTGATAATTATGCCACAAATATTGTGTTAATTGCTTATAACAAGTTTACCAAAAATTATTAATTATTTTCATATGTTTTATATATTATTAATAAATATGTTACTATAATGAAATCAAATAACTTATTATCTTTAATGTTAACAATGCAATATGTTTTGTCATTATAAGTTTGTACAATAATTTGTCACTTACTCACCCAATTGCACACAACTTAATAATATTTTAATGATTTCGCATTAATTTTTTTGCAAAAAAATAAAATTAATTTTCTTATTGATGGCAATGAACTAAATTTTATTTAATCAAATAAAACAACAATTGATTTGAAATAAATAGAGAATATAAATTTATTAATACAGTTTAAAGAAATTTTTTTAAATATTAATGTTATGATAATTTAAATAAAAAATGATATTTTTTGAATTTTTTTACAATATGAACCCATTTCATATAATTTAAATATAATAAATATTAAACAAAATTTAAATAAAATAATTTGAAAACAAAAATTTATTTTACAACAATAATAATTTATTTACTAATATATCTATAATATGTATAATGATATTAAATATTTTTATTTAAATAAAAATAAAAAATATATCTTATAAATATTATAATTTAATTTAAACTAACTATAGTATATATTAATATATATATAAATTTTATAAACAATTAAATGAAATGCTTAAATTGCTTATTTAAATTTTATTATTATTATTAAATTTGTTTAAAGAATACTGTTAATTTTAAAGTTAAATTTTATAAAATTAAATAAAAAAAAATTGTGTTGAATTTACTGTATAATTCAATGATTATTTAAAAACATAATATCAGATATTTAGGTCTCTCAAAAATCAAAAAACAATTAGTATCAATAGTATCAATAGTATAATGATATGAATTGTATAGTGAAAAGTGGTAATTATTATTATATATGTTGTATTTGACATTAAGATAACGACAAACTTGTTGTTTAAATCAAAATGTTTGGACTATTTTCCGGGTCCTCCAAGAAATTCACTGCCTCTCGGATTATAAAAATCAATCAAACCGTTGGAGAAACGAACCGGTCGTTTGAAAGATGAGTTAAGATATTCGGATAATTTTTTAGCCAAAAAATAACTGGGCGTTACTGAGCCTCCTATTCCTCGCCTCTTATCGGGAACGCCTATAGACTTATAAAACCGTTTTCCAGGTCCGCCCAGAAATTCAGACAACCGTTTTGTTGATTTTTGAGAGCCGTAAATATCTGAAGTGCTATCATCTATTGAAACAATAAATTTAATAAATAAATAATATTAGATAAAAAATAGTTTGCTGTAAATAAAAATTAATTAATAAATAATTATTCATTACTATACTATTTTTATATTACACAATTTGTTTAGTATTTCAAATAAAGAATTTAATTAATAAATACAATAAATTATTAATAGTGATACAGAATATTCATTAGTAATACATGAGTTACAAACTAACAGTTTATCACAACTGAGACCTATAAATAAGGGTCAAACAGGATATCATTATTTTATTGTGTTTAATCAAAATTTCCTCATTTCATCTTAAATATAATTAATTTAAATTTATAAAATAATTTATGACTTTACAAGTGAAACATTCACACCCAAACCCCCCATTGATAATAAGTCTCACACAATATTAGACCCAAACTTTAATTATTTAAGTAGTGGTGACTACAATCAATTATTTACGATTTATTTAGTTAAAACACTTAAGAAACTTGTATACAGATTAAAAATAGACTATAAACTAATTTAAACAATTAATTGTTATATGACTTACTTGTATTGACATTAAGAAACACATTTTTAAAATGAATATAATTTTACATAAGACAACACACTTGACTTTTTTTAAAAAAAAACCTTTAAATAAAAGGAAAAATATATAAAATTTTAGTATTAATTTTAGATTTTATTTTAATTTAGTTTAATAATTGATTATATTAAAATTTAGTATAATTTAAAGCTATAATTAAGAAACATGAATTTTAAGGGGTGATCCCATATTAATTACAAGTATAGTTTAGTGATGATGTGTGGGATATGATGGGACACTCCTCCTCCTCCGTCCGAGAAACTCACTGCCCATCTTCTTGACGGCCTTATAGTAGTTGTCGCCTCTTTTGCCTAAAAACTCCGAACCCATACGTTTGCCTTCAATTGGTTTGACAGCAAATGAATAAATTCAATGTTTTAGATATAATTTAGAGTTCTTTAGTTATATATATATATATACTAAAGACTAAAATTTAAGTATTATTATTATTATTGTGATTTAGTTTTTATAATTAGAAAATAATACTAAAACATATAATATAAATGTGACACAAATAGTTAGACTAGTATTATATGAATAGTAAATACATAGGAATAGGATGTAAGACATACCGAGGAATTCACTGCCTTTTATTCTCTTATTGATTAACTGATGAAATGTTCCGTAATATTTAGGATTAACTCTTAAGCCGTAAAATGGCTGTACGTTTGCCTCAAACTCATTGGTGTCTTCGTCTTCATTTAGATTTGCATTTAGACTATTATCGTCTGTTTCTGGATTAAGATTACCGTAAATAGCATTATATATTAACAAATAATTTCTAGTTTTATTTGATATTTTTGATAAATATAATTAAGAATAAAGTCATATACATTAATAGTGAATGAATTTTGTTTAATATTACTAATTAAACATGTTATAAATATATTATAATTAAAATACAAAATAATTGAAACATTTTAATTAAATATTTAAAATAATAAAATTTATATTTTAATTTAAAAATCTATTATATGCAGTATATACATATATTATTATTAATCCAGTAACTGTTAAAAATTAATAATTAACATAGTTTATGAACAATAAATTATAATGATATAAATTGTAATAAAATTCTTTATTACTAAGATTCTTTAAAATTATTATAAAATTTCTATAAATTATTGTTTATAAATATCATGAATATTACATTTAAAAACATAATTTTATACATACCTTGATCTGTGTTAAGTGCGGTTATAGTACTGATGACTACAAGCAATAGAGTAATCCATAAGAAATTCATGTTTTTAACGTTTTTGAATTCCATTGAAATTGATTTAGATTTGAATTTCTTTATTTAATGTCTTCGACTAATAATTGTTAATAAAAATAAATGTAAAAATATTTGTCATAATATTTTATAATATTATATATCGTATAATAACTTGTAATTATATCMMTAATGATTGTTTATAAGAAGACAATTGACAAACTAAATATTACTCTCTATTGTTTTMATATGTTTTAAAATAACGATACAATTGCTTATTATATATTCTACTGTTATTATAATATGTCCTCAATATTATATATGTTGTTAATATATAATATGTGAGAAATAATTATTATATTAATATTACATTAATTATAAATATAATTATTGACAAATGAATGCTAAATAAGAAATATTAATGATTTTTAGATAATGAAATAGATTTTTATATAATRTATATAAAATATATAATATTTATCAATAAATAAAATATTGTTGAATAACRATTTAATATACAATGCAATGTCTTTAATACATTTTGGTTATGACTTATTATAAATTAGACTATTTTTTTAAAGAAAAATAATGTATTAATTTTCATAMTTTATAAGGAAGTGCTTTATAACAAAAAATATAATTATCTAATGTATACAAAACAAACTGTACAAATAATTCTGTATAAGTTGATTATAAAACTTTATACTAAAAAAATTGCAATAAATTTCATAAATAATATCATAATACACTACTGTACAGTATATTCTGTATTATATTTAGATTTAATTTATAAATATTGTAGAAAGTCATATCACAAATTCAAAACTTAATATTTATATTATACTGTAATACAAACGCCCACATAATGTAAATACTGTATTTGATTTGTCAAATACTTTATAATAATATTATATATTTTATGTTACGCTATGTGTCGAGACATACATTTGTTACTATCATATATATATTATATAATATATATATATTTATTTTATAAATGTAATTTTTTGCTTTTACTGTATTGTTATAGTGAACTAATTTTATTAAAATAAATAATAAACTTACAAGAAGTTTATTTATTGCCACAAAAATGTTTTGACTATTAATTTCAATTTATCAATTTGATTATTGACAGTCATGTGTTATATCTAACAAATATAAGAAAAAAATCTTTTTTTTTATTAATTTATAAAATGTATTTAATATATTATATAAAATAAACTATCTGTAAATTTAGCGTTATTTACTATAATATTGATTTATTAAAGCAATTATTTTAATATATCAGATGTTTTAGTTAATCTGAAATATTTTAACAAATGTATAATAGTGTTAATTTTAATTAAAGTTTAAAAATTTAATTATATCATTAATATTAATCTCAAATTTCAATAATTTATCAAATATTTATAAACAAAAATCTAATGTTAAATGTATGCACAAATAATTCTTGATTTAAAACTCAACTCAAAATAATTTATATTAAAATACAGAATTATAATCTTAATGGTCTTTATATGTTTTGTAATAAATAAATTATAAAAAGTGATGATAAACTAGTATATTAAATATAATTTATTATATTATGTTATTTCTTATATTTCATATATTTTTAGAGAGTAATATAGATGTCATAATTATATACTAATTTTGATTAATTGTAAATACTATTTGTACTTCTAAATAAAATAAATTATTGTTTTAAATAATACATAATAATTAATATATTTATATAATTACAGAATTACATTATATTTAAATATTGATTTTCAAGTTTATTAATTATTTATAGGATAGAAAACAACAATGAAATGTTAATTAACTAACTTTTTATTACTTTTAAAAAGTCAATTTTTAACATTAGCTACAAGACAATGTAATAATAAAATACATTCATAAATAATTAATGTTTCAACAGATAACATAGTTAGTTGAATATATTTTGACTATATTTTAGACATCACTAACTATTATATTTTTAAAATTTTCATTTTAAACTAATAATGAATAAAAAATGTTTAATTTTTGATATTTTATTAAACTAATGTCACTTAACAATTATATATATTTTTTAACTTAACAGATTTATATTGATACAGTAGTAATATTGTATTTACTATATATAAAAATATTGTAAAAATGAAAGAATTTATATAATAAATGTTTTAATATGATAATTTAGATTTTAATAAATAATTATAAATAAAATTATTAATTATGATTAAAATAATGCTTTAAATGAAATATTTACATTTCTTAAGATAATTTATTCAAAAGATTTTTTTTTTAATAATTTCAATTTGCACAACACTAACAATTACTTTTTTAAATATAATGAATTGATCTTTATTATATACCAAAAAATATATATAAATACTTGAGGGCAATAAATATCAAACATTTATATGTAAATATTATAAATATTTCTTATTATTAAAATCAAATCATTTTTTAAAGTTATATATTTAAGTATAATTTAAATTTTTATAATATTTATAACATCAATAGTTAATTTTTTTATGGAAAAATATTATGATTAAAAAATAAATTTTAAAAATATTAGATATCTATAAAACATTAAAATACTAGTGTTATATAATATAATAGTATTATTATACAGTATTATACATATAAAAGTTATTATATTATTTATTAAAAGTTTAATTCTTAAATTGTATAAATTTTATTTAATAAATAAATCATTTTTCTAAATAAAATGCTAACTAATCTATAAATTGTAAACTTAGATATTTAAGAAAAATTTAAATTATTTTCTATGAATGTCTTTTAAAATAAAATACAAAAACCGCATTAATTATAGTTCCCACACATTTGAAATAAATTTAAATTTAAATAAAGTATTAATATAAAAAAATTTGTGACAAAACAGTTTTTCTATTTTTTAATATTATTTTTAACATTTGTAATTCTATATCAATTTTTTCTACTTTGCATTAAACTTAGAGATGAACAATGAGAAAGTTTCTAGAAAATTTCTGAGGTATAAATTTCTATAGAAATTTAATTTTATTGTTATACTATGGGATCCCCATATCTATAGCTATTGTAATACTATTATAATAAGATATAATAATATACATATAATATTATACTATACAGTATAGTACAGTACTATATAAATGGGATACCTATATATAAAATAATTATTTAATAATAATTAGTTTTGTAAAATTTTATTTATCTTTTTATTATATATATCATAGTTTAATATAATATAATTAATTTTTTACTTTAATTAATAATTAAAATACTAATAATAATATTTAATGTATTGTTATATGATAGCAAATATCGAGATAACAAAATTAACATGTGGATCCCATAGATAGAAATTTATTTTACAAACTTTCTAGAAATTTCTCTATTATTTTATAAATTTCTATTTTTTCCAACACTAATTAAACTTGATAAATATAATTATTACAATTGTATGCTTTCATTCAACATATGATTTAAAGATCACATAAATACAAAATTATTTTTTTAACTTTAAATTATTTTTAATTTTTTAAATAAATTAAAGTATACATAGTCAATATAATTGAATAATTTTTACATTTTCAGCAAAAAATTCAATTTAACTCAAATTTTAAAGATTTTTCAGTATAAATTAATAATTGTTATAATCTCTCTGATCTCTTAATTAATACATAAATATAATAAAATAATTTTGCCATTTGGTATGTTTTACAAAACTATAATTATAAAGTTTTCTTTAAGTTTACTTATATGAAAATATTGAAAAACATTTTGTTAATATTGTTATATTATTAAAATTTAAAAATTTTATTTAAATAATATTAAAGAATGCTTATAAAATAAAACTGACCATGTGGTAAATTTAATTGTTAAATATATAATTCATATTTTATATAAATTATTGATAGTATTATTTATTAAATACTATATAAATTGTTTGTATTTTTAGCATACAGTATATACACAAATGTTTTTTCACTAAAATCATATTCAAAATATATAATCTAAACTTAGACTCAGTTATATTTTAAGGCCTTTTGGCGTCAATTATTGAATGAATTGCCGACAGCTTATGAAATATATCATCAAAATAAAACAAAACTTCAATTGTCTCTATTATTTGTTTTTATACAAATTTTTAGTTCATTTTATTTATTGATATTTCAGGACAATTTTCTAACTATAATATATATATATATATAATATTTAAATCTGAGACCAAAAAAATATTCAAAAGTATTAGACAACGATAGAGAATAACAGAAAAAATTGTTGAATTTAAATGACATCTTTGTTAGTATTTTATGTAATTCCTGTTATGAATTCTCTATTGAATACATAAATGACTAAACATTTTATTATTATTATTGAGAAAATCGACAGAAAATCCTACAAAAGTTTTTGTGTGAAAATTGAATTTCGAGGACCAGTACTTACAAGTCAGCAAAATGTTATAGTTTTTGAACCATTTATAGGACAGTTATGTTGCTGTTAGAAGAGGCAAATCTATTTGTTAACATACTGTATATATATATATATAAATATATATTGCAAACAATTCAATGTATATATATAACTATAAAGGTTGTAATAAACTAAATATTTTTATCATGTAATTAGACTTGTAATTTGTGTAACATTTTGTCACAAAAAACCATTTACAAATAATATTTTTTATGTATAATAATTTATGTTATTTATTTAATTTACAAAAAAGTTACTAACATTTAAAATTAATTGAAAGTTGTGGCTATGATTAAAAAAATTTTAGTTTAAATATCTTTATTTATTTTTAGCAATTCTTGAAAGAAAACTATATTAATAAAATTAAATGAAAACACAAAAATCATTTTAAATTATTATGGATTTGTAAAATGTATAATATAGTACAGTATTTATAAAAATATATGTGTATTTAATCTAATGTTATATCAGTTTTTACATTAGGTTGCAGATTTTGTTTTATCAATGCATCTATTTATTTGATTTTTTTTATTTTTATCCATTAATTTAAAAGTCTAAAAACGTAATTT